CTTGGAAACTGTTAATTGTTCTCTTTGATTGTTTCACTTTTGGTGTTCTTTGGCACCCATAGTTGTAGTAGTTTTTTTTCTTGCTTTTTTTTTTTTGGGCCTTGATGTGTTGAATTTCTTCAATCTTATATGCTCTTGTTAGCTTCTAGAATTTCATGTCATTTCAGTATTTTTTTTTTCTTAAGTTTTATGCACTCTCAAATGTATTTATGCATATTTTGGGTTTTGTCCTTGTTATTTTTGTGCTTGTATATAAAATTTGTCACTTTTGCAGCTATACTTTAGTATAACAGTAATTATGTCAAGCCACTTTTAGGAAGCCTTTGGAAGCATTTAAAGATCAAGATTACTTTAGAATTACGTTATGATGATAAAAAAAAAAAAGAATATATAAAGACCAAATCATAGGTGAAACTCTTTATTTGAGTTAGAAAATCAAAATTTTCTAGAGAGAAAATGTGTCACTATGCATTCTGATGTGACAACAGAGGCAAACTCGGCCACTATACAAAATGTTTAGGTCATGGCGCAATCACTAACAACAAAATGCACAATACTAACTCTAAAAAATTGAGGGCTTCAAGCAATTTAAGGCCCTAGCTCATCTTTGGCCTTTATTCTAAACTTCTTGGAACCATTTTGGAGCTTGGGACTGCTAGGGTTTGTGATACGAATTCTTATAGAAACTCAAAAAATAAAAATAAAATAGATTTGAAAGTGATAAAAGTTGATTGGCTAAAATTCTTGAGAAACTAGTCTCTAGACCCTTAGCCATAAAAGGTCATTGGATCTCCATTGGTTTGGTTCTTGAAGTGGAGATTGAGCTAGGACTCAAAGTTTGAAGAGATGCTTCTTCTCTTTGTTCATCTTCTCCATCTTCCTTTTCCTTTCTCTTGTTTAATGTTTGTGCTGAATTTTGTGTATTTTCTCATGGTTATCATGAACATGTGTGGCTCAAGCTTTGATTTCAGGATTATTTTGAAATATGGATTAAGTACTAATTTCTCCTTTAAATTTGTGATTAATGATATAATTTTGTTGATTTTACTCTATACTTAATACATTTAGTTGATAGGCTACTAATAAGATTGTTAGATTCACTTGATTTATATATGCTTCTTTTTTTTTTACCTGATATTTATATATACTTGAGAGAGCTAGATTGAGTGTAGAACTTGAGTTTAATTGTGTGAGAACTTGAAGTGGAATGGATAGTTTTGTTAATGAGATAGAGACATGCTCGTTAATCTCACATAGCCATATATGATTTGCAATGAAGATTGGGGTTTAATTAATTAGTTAGTTAATTAATTAAGAGATTAATGAAGTAATTGAATTAAATACCTATTTAGAGACCTGAGAGCACACTTATAAGTAATTGAGTGTCCTTGACTAACATAATATATAATTAAGAAGCAAATATAATAGAGATTTAAGTGAGTACTCTTGACATATAAGAGGGATAAACAATTCTAAGTCCTTTTTTGTCTTTAAAGTTCAAGAATCATTTGGTTGATTAAATTTTGATTTTGGAAATAGTTACTGTTCACTCTTAAAATTTCTATCACTCAAATTAGGTAAAAGTGTGGTAATCAATACTCAACCCAATTTTGGAACCAAATCCTCATAAGATAAATACTTTTCTCATGACTTTATTACTTCTCAGTTGTCACGGTTTGTGCACTTATGATGCGAACAGCTTTTCTATATTATCTTTCATCTATTATTAAGTATATATATCAATTAGAGTTAAATAAAGTCCGGACTAGACCCCAATCCACCATGGGTTACAGGCCTAACGTTGTGTGCTCGGCTTCTAGGCAAACTAAACCCACCATTTTTTTTTTTTTGCGGGTTATGCTCACGAGCCCAACTCATGTTAACATCAATGTGACTAAGGTCTTTTTCGTAAAGCCTGGGTTTTATGAAAATTAGACAATCAATAATATTCATCGTGGCATAACCATTACCAATTAAATAACTATAAAATTCCAAGATTCTTATGCCAAGAACAACTAATGTGCCCGGATTCTAGTATGCTCTTTGGCCTCTTTCTTGCTGTTTCTAGCTCGTGGTCATGCAAAACTGGGAGGGATACGAAATGGATGGACAGGTCATAATCCTTCAACTCCTTAAACTAAAATTATTCTAAATGGAAAAAAAAGAAGCTTTTTTGTGCACATGATTAAGAGATTAAAAACTTTTGCCTACATAATTTATTTCCCCTCAGTTCTGTCTAAAATATACATGCATGTTGGGCCAGATCTTTTCCAAAATAATCTCTAAGATAGTTTTGCCACGAAACGCAACTTTTAAAAAACATCCAACATAGAAGAAATCCTCAATCATTCCCATCATCGGACATCCCATATAAGTTGTTTACTATCCTGTATGAGTTGCACAATATCCTCCAATTATTGCGTTTTTGTTGAATATTAATTTGATAGACATGCATCTTTGGACATTTCTTGATATTTTATTACAAATGGTTTTGGACAGTTTGTTATTCCCTATAATTTGCTTCCTATTTTCTCGACAAGAGATAGAGTCGTCCTCACATAACAAGATCTCATATACCCAAACTCAAACGGATCTCCACATGCATGCTTAGTTTTCTCATTATACATATATGTGTGTGTATGTATATTCTCCCACACTACTGCTTGATAGCTGTTTCCACGAAATATAGTTATATAAGTAATCCCTCCATTTCATATCATAAGAAGTTAGTTAATATTTTTCACATACTAAGAAATATAAGTTTAGTCATTAAATTTGTCCTAAAATGATAGAGTTTTTCTATTTTATCCCTAACCCAGGATGAAGTTGCTTTTGATGTTACACTTTCATTATCACTCATCTCTTCCCTCTCTCTCTTATATTTAATTATCCTGAAAGCGTCTTATATTTTGGATCACAATTTTCTTTTAACCAATGTCATATATTATGAATATGGGGGAGGGAGTATCGCTTTGGGATTTATTACATTAATCAAAACAAGTTCTTTCATAAGTTGGCAGCAGCCTGGTTTTAGATTTCTGGCAATAATAATAATACTCACGTGCAGTTTTAGTAAATGGTGTTTTCGTTTGGAACTTTTAGGTATGGTCCGTGATTCTGATTGAATGAATCTTTTCGTATTCAATGCATAATAGCTGTATGCAGGTTGTGTTGCTTACTTGTTTTCTTTGGATGGAAGCGAATCAATAATTATTCAATTAAATAAAAAAAGTTTGTTTATGTGTTTAATGCAAGAGGGACATTATGTTATTGTAATTATAATTCTAATAATCAATCCTTTTACTAGAACGTTTGTCGCATATTAGATGAGAATGTGAACGTTTGTCTCGGGACATTATTGACAAAAGTAACATTGATTAAAGTTATCTTCGTTTATCAATGTCAACTTGTAATTAGTTTAAGCCTTTGATTGATTTTTTTTTGTTAGGCTGTATTATTCACGGGGTTTACATAGTCTACCGACTAAGTAATCTTCATAATGCGTGTTGTTTGGGTAAATAAATAGATAAAATTACTCTTTCAATCCTTAATGTAAAACCTAATTTCAGAGTTGACGCGGGTTCTATATATAAAACCTATTTCATATATTTATTATTTTTTTCAAATTAATACTATTAATATTCTCTCAATAATAATTAAGTAGGGGTGGAAGGGAGAGAACTAAGGAAGATAATTAGGATATTTTAGAAAAATATATTATATTAACTAATTTAACTAAAATTATTATTATACTCAAATTAGTTAATTATAAGTCTTACATTAAGGACTCGAGAAGTATTTTGTACTACCTCTAGCCCTTAGTATAATAACTAATTGACTAATTTGAGCAGAATAAAGAAATTAATTAAGTTAATTATTTGCAATAAATAAGTATTGTATTTTCTAAAATATCCTTGCTAATAATGTGTATTAGCTAAAATTACTATTTGATGAGACATTTAACATGTGTAACTACCACAAGAACTATCTTGGAAAAAATAGATAAATATAAGAGACAAAGTAAATTGAGATCTTATATTTAGAACCAAATTAAATATAATATTTATTATATCCTTTCATTATTATTTTATTATTCTTTCTAAACGAACTTCTTAGGGTCATCATAATTTGAAATTTTTTTGGCATTGTGAACTCGCTCCAAACGGTAATTTAGATCATCAACATCTGTAGCTAGGTTACAGGAGGTAAGTATTTCTCCTGCTAATTTTGAGTGGATGGAGATTAACATACATTCCTCTATACCTATTTATAAAACATTTTTAGCATTTTTGACATAGATTAGGAAAAACTTTAAAATGCATTAACTCTTGATTAAAATATAATAACCTTTTAACTTTACTCCTATTTAATATATACATTTTTAAAAAATATTTATCTACACCATAACAAATAAAGGACAAAATAGTACATTCATGTTAAAAATTTAATGAAATGATTTATAAATATGACTAAGAAAAACTTTATCTCTCTATCTTGTAAAGAGGGCCAGAGGATTAAGTTAAAAAATGTTCTAATATTTTAGGCCCAAGCGAGTATATATTGACCCTAATCTTTATATTGACCCTAATCTTTCTCCACAGGTGAGAAAAACTGCACATGAGATTACTTTGTAGCATTGAAATGTGTGTGTCAGAGGGGGAGGGAAAGTGACTTGCATCCAAACCCCAAAAACCAAAAAATACATTAAATTTATAATTTGCTTTTACATTTATCCTTAAAAAATATTAAAAATATATTTTTATTTTTTCTCGCATATGGTACAACTTGAAAAAAATCATTAATTATCTTAGAAGTGATTTATATTTTAGAAATAAACTTTTTTTCCCCTATAAGTTACTTATAAATCAGAAGAGAGTAACATTGAAGTAAATAAACAAGACATTTGATTAGGAAAAGCAACTCACTAATTTCTCTTATAGAACATTTTAATGGGTATTTACAGCCTTGCTTTTCAGATTGCGACCACCCCCACATGGAGCACTGAACTAATAATGTTGTTTCATTGCTAAACTTGATCCAAAGACAGATGTAATGATGAAGATAATGGCTCGTAATACAAAACGGCGTCGTCGCTCTACTGATACAGACGCGATGCTTCGCATCACGCTTGAGACTTACTTTCTTAAACTTGCTTAAAATACACTTAATTAAAAGTGCAAAAAGATCAGCCAAAAAAATATGAGCACGGCGTAAGAGAATTCGGGCTCATATTCTATGCATGGCATGAAGCATCTTGTTCTTCCAATTCTATGCCTTCCTCAGCGAGCCTCTTATCCTTGTAAACATACCCTTTTGCACAAAACAAGTATATTGCAAAGTTCAAAGCACTCAAAATAGCCAAAAGCCAATAGAAGTTATCGAGCCTTCCTTTGTTAAGATTATCTGCTAGCCATGGCTTTCTGTGACCTGTCGCCTTGTGAACTATCGTCACCAACAGTGAGCTGAAGAAAAACCCTAATGACAGTGTGCTTAGGAACAGCCCTGTGCTCATTGTCTTCATTCCTTTGGGACATTCTCTCAGGAAGAAATCCAACTGTCCTATGTACGTAAATGCCTCACCTGACCCCACTAGCAGAAACTGAGGTATCAGCCAGAAAACACTTAATGGAATCTGGGCATTTGGATCATTTGTCAACCCGTGTGATTCTGCGGATCTTAGCCTTTTGATCTCAGTGAGTGCTGCGGCGGCCATGGCTAGAGCTGAAAACACCAAGCCTACTCCTATGCGTTGCAAAGGGGTCATTCCGTGTGGGTTCTTGAGAAGTTTTCTGGTGATAGGGACGACGATCCTGTCGTAGATTGGGACGGTAAGGAGGATGCTTCCGACGAAGAAGACGGTGAGCGATGCCGGTGGGATCTTGAAGGATTTTCCGACGTGGAGGTCCATGGTGGTTGCTTGTGACACTGAGAAGGTGGTCATTTGTGCGTAGACTGTCCAAAAGATGATGGTTGTGGCCCATATAGGCAACATCCTTATCACCAGTTTTACTTCTTCAACATCAGTTACAGTTAATAGATACCACTTTCTCTCTGTCATTAATTCTCCAGACATTTCTGGAATCTTTATTGCTGCCTTGTCCAAGAAGCTGCACATGTAATGGAAAAAAAAAAAAACATATAAGAGATATGTGTATATATATAAATGATTTTTTTTTCAGTTTTCTCCTTAATTATCAAAAAATAGTAGTGAGAGAGCAGAGACAAATGAAGATGGTTCTGGTTGTTGTCTTTATTGTGGATATAATTATGATCCAAAATAGTAATCAAGAATTAATTCCAAGCCATTAATGATGTGTTCATACCCTGAACAATGAGCCAAACCAGCTTGATTAGCCATTTAAGCATGTGATGATTGCATAGTTGATAATGAAGTGAGAACTTTCACGATAATTCAACATGTAGAGGCCCACCGTATCCTCAAGTAAGTTCATTTTCGAGGGAAACCTATCTGTTATCTTCTTGATACATCCATTATCCAACCACCTAATAACCTAAACCATTGGACAACACATACACTTTCACACTTCATTATATTCTTGCCTCAATTAATTAGTCAATAATCATTTGTGTTTTTACGGAATTAATTAATTAACTAAGCCTCAAAGTTGTGATTACATGTGGAAAGGTTAGCTTCTTATTAAATAAAAGGAGAAATATATGCTTTTTCAAAGGGCACCCCGATGTGCTCTCCCAAAACCACAAAAGAATAAGAGATAATTGGATTGAGAGAAAAGGGACGGTTGACCAATTGTTTAAGATTGATAAGGACTAGACGGGAGACAGTGAGATAATTTTTTGTCTTCCTTTTGAGATTCGGCAAATTTTAAAGGATCAAATTCCACCACCACAAAGCATATCTATTTAGTCTTTTACTAGGGAAGGTATCATCGGCATGTGTCTGGGAGGGAAAAGGGAAGAGAGAAGATAAAGAAATTTAGGGAGAGAAAAGGGTTCAACTGTATGCAACGATCTGATCCACATGAGGAGGCACGTGTAAAGCGGAAAAAATTCATCCAAATATTGGAGAGAGAGAAAGGAAAGAATTTTTAGAAGAGATGGGGAAAAAAGGTAAAGGGATTTTTTTATCAGGAAAAAATTTAGGTGAGTTCAACATCGACTAAAAGGTAAAAGGATTTAAAGATAACTATATTTCGTTACTGATCTTTTGTTAGACATATTCTGACATGTTGTATTGGTCATTCATAACCTTAAAAACTTCTTATTTTATATTGATATTTTTTAAATTTTGTTAAAGGTTGTAACTTGTGAGAAAAAATTTGAAGTAGGAAAGAATCAAAGGGTGAGGACAAATCCCTTGAAACTTCGTATTAAAAAAAGCTGACACGTAAACTAGGAGTCCTAAATGAATTAATTAGTACTTAGCAAGAAAAAAATTATGTCAACCACTAAGAATTAAACAATTAATTAATCAGTGAACCAAACTAGGAAAGAGGGTAAGATTCAGACAATAAAAAACCAAAGAAAGAGGGTAAGATATGTTAATTACCGGAACTCTTTGCTGTGAGGCAACCTCTGCTTCTTCTTCTTCTTCTGTCCATCATCTGCAAGATCATCCATATTAAACAGCAACGACGGATCCGACGGCAACTCCAAGTGTCTCTTCCTCCAAGCCGCCACGAACGCCGCAGCGATCTGCGTCAACGGACTACCGACCAGTTTCTTGAACCGGTACTTCTTAGTTCCCGACAAGAAGACAAGAAGAGCAGAGACAATGGCACACGCGCAAATCCCATATCCCCATTCTCTTCCCACGTTATCTTGAATGTACACAAGAACTGTCACCGCGGCTAGCGACCCTATGCTTATGAAGAAGAAGAACCAGTTGAAGAACTTTATCATCCGCTTCTTCTCCCCCTCGTCGGAATCGTCAAACTGATCCGACCCGAACCCGGACACGCTGGACTTCAGACCACCGGTTCCGAGTGCTGTGACGTAGAGTGCCAAATAGAGAACTGTCAGTTGCATGTCGTTGGCCGGAACACATGATGAGACATCTTTGCCTGGATTGCATTTTGGAGGATGTAGACTTGGGATTGCGGTTGATATGGCCAAAATTGTAACGCCCTACAGTATTCAGTATAAGATCCGGTAAGAATATATATATATATATATATATTGTTATGAACAATATAATTTGTGGAGAGAATGAAGGTTTAGATCATTATTGTTCGTATTCCAGGCAAGCCAACTTGTTGCTTAAATTTGTTTTGCTACTATGGTTTTATGTCTAGTAAAAAGTTTGACAATAATTGCTATATATGGCAAGCATATCACATTTATAATATAACAAAACAACTTTTCTGGGAACAAAAAGTAATCGAATACAAACTCTCCATTCTTATTTGACCTATTGATACTCTGAAGTAAAGATAGGAATATTTCTGGCAAGCACGTGTCGCATCGACGTTAATCACCAAGTCAGTTAACGTCGCTTTATACTAATAACTTAATTATTCTCTATGATGTCCAATTAGTTTCCGATGAAATTTTAGAATCTTTGTACATGAAAATACAGTTGCTGAATTGTTAAAGACAGAGCTCTTACAGTTGCTTGGACGGTAGCGAAAATGGCGATGGTGAGGTATCTGTGGAAGAAGGGATTGAATTAAATAGCTAATAATCACCGTATGGAAACAAAACGGACAGACAAAAGGGAAGGAAAAAGAAAAGAAAAAGTAAAAAAAGGAGGTAGTTGAATCTGGGGATATTCTGGTCAAACCTGCCGAGAAATGTGTCGGCCACAAAACCACCGAGCAAACACAACATGAAAGAGGTTCCCATGAAGTTGGTGACTATGTTAGCAGATGAAGCATTTCCTAAATGCATCGTTCCTGTCAAATATGTCACCAAGTTCACTGCGATCCCCAGCGTCGTCAGCCTCTCGCATGCTTCTCCGCCTATATATATTCAGATCACCCCAAAAAAAAAAAAAAAAAAACCAGACAATCTAGTCAATTAATAACCTGTCGGTCCAAGGTAAGTGTATGTTATGTATGGCTGAAAAAACCAGAAAGCTTGCGATAGAAAGTGTACCTAGAATCATGGCGGCTGCTGTCCAACCACCAGTTTTGGATCTAAATGCAGGACGACCCTTGAAATCCCAGGCGTCTTGGATTGTGTCAGACATTGTCTGAGGAAGAGAACCCATTGTGAAGAGTACTATGATTTATGTTGGAGTATACAAGAAGAGGAAGAAACTGAGATGATGATGATGATGATTAAGGTGGTAAGTGGCGCAAGGGATCTGAGGTATTGAGGCCCTATATATATACCAGAAGGCAGGGGGAAAAGTAGGATTTTAAAATTTGTTCTTAATTAATTATAGCCTTTACCAGCCTTACTGTTTGAATCATTGTATAAATTAATGCATAAATAATATGATTATGATTATGGGTCCGTTGGGGGTTATATGACAGATTAATAACAAATTAATTAAACTATATGGCCAAGGATTGGCTTATTTCGAATGAATAAGCACATGGATTTTAGATTAGATAAGTGTGTGTGTATGTGTGTGTGTGTGTGTGAGAGAGAGAGAGAGAGAGTTTTATTGCGGTCCTTCATAAACATCCATTTTTCAATTTGAGCTTATTGTGAAATTGTCTTTTCGATTTAGCTTCTCATAGATAAGACATTCTTCAAATGGGTCCCTCATAAAATTATGTTCCTATTTGGTCCCGAAAAGATTGCTATTTCATGATTTGGCCAACACGTGTGTGAACAATTATTATTAGTCATTAATAATTTTAATAGTATTAGCAAGGTTATATATAATGGAACGGAAATAGTTAGTCTCTTACAACATAACAGATTAAATTTAAATTCTTATTATATTTAATACTTAATTGTGCCTTACACATAATTACCCCAAAAGGATGATGCATGCATTCGGGTGAGTAAAGAAAAATTACTTTTGAGGATAAACTAATGACCAATCCTAATATTTAAATAACCACATTGATAAGGTAACTTTATGAGAGCCTAAATCGAATAGTAGTACTTTACTTTTTATGGACGATATTAAAGTGAAAAAGTTATCGGATTTCACAAATTAAAAAAAAAATCTCGGAAGAACTAAACTGAGGGAAATAAACTTCATTTGTGAAAATGAAAAAAAACAAAATTTACTGATTTGGCTCGGGCTCCTGCTTTAAATTTTCGCAACATTTTATGAAATCATATTTCAAAAAAATTGATAGTAGTTTTCCCAAAAATCTCTTAATAGATTCTTATAATTCGATAACTATAACTATTAGTTCCTTGGTACTTATAATTAAATCTGAGAACCATTGTAATAATTTTTGCAAAAAATAAATTGTAGACGTAATTTTCCCTAAAATTATATTTTTATCATCTCTTCCATTATAATTGGAATCGGCTTTTCACTCAGAAAAAAGAGAAATATGTAGGATGGATCCATGGAAAAGCATATACTGATGGAATCTCGGCCTTCAGAATGTGAAAGGAGCTTTGTGAAACTCATTAAACTCACCAATCACATCAATCTCTGTTTTTTTTATTTTTGGCCAAATTAAAGAACAATAACTATCAAATTAAGATTATTATTTTCGTTCGTTAATGGCCATACCACCTCTCGTGCTATTATCGTTAATGGCCAGGTAATGATCAAGAAACTGTTCCCTCCACGTTACCTTACTTAATTTATATAAACACTTTGAAGTTGAAATTCTACATATTTTATGTTATTTATAGCTTGTAATTCTCCTCAATCGAGAGAATTCCTATATTTAGTTCTATATTGTAATTGAATTCTCTTTATTAAAGCAATCACGTATTATGGAAGAGTATTGTGAAACAAGAAATATATTTATTGACTTTTTTGTTTAGATTTATATGTATTAGTTTCTACATTAAATAACTTGTGTGAACATAAGGGAACTGGAATTAATCTCTCTTTCTTCTTCTACAAGGGAACAAATTAAAGAAATTGAAAGTTTATTTTTCTTATTATCGGGCATATAACATAATTAGGGTTGTCGACAATTCTTTGTCGACATCGACCATCACATATAGTTTCAGATCTGAGAAGGCTTTGTTTTATTTCGTTGAAGTTAATTACTTTGTTCTTTAAAATCTAATCTTAATTTTGTCTGTTTCCTTTTGTCATCTAATCTAATTAATGCCGAAATCAGCAAAAATAAACTTTTATCAGAGAGAAAGATATGTTACCAAACAGACTTTAGGCAAGGGTTCATATGTGTTTTTGCCTATCAATTTTTTTTAATACAAATGCATAATTACGTACGAAGTTTATGCGTACAATATATTTATGAAAATTTTGATAATAAATATATATGAAATTGTATTTCTTCTGCTTTAAGACGTGCGCGCGCGCATACACATATGTGCGTGTATACATGTGTGTGTATATTTAAATATATTGAAAGTGCAGCAAAATCTAATTATATTATAACAAAAAACTTTTTATTTATTTTGTTTTTCTTCTAAGTAAACATTTACTCCACTTATAATTATTTTCAGTAATAAAGGATGAAATAGTAAGAAAAATTAATTTTTTATTGCACATTTAAAGTAAAAGATATTTGAAAACTAAGGGAATAATTAAACCATGATCTCTTTAGTCTATAATAATGGATAAATCATGTTCTAACAACAAATTTTTAATAATCGTAGTTGAACTTTTACCCCCCAATAAAGCAAAATAATTGTCAACCAAAATCCACTCAAGCCACAGTACGTGTAGGGCGATTGTTAACATTTGCTGTTAATTAAAAAAAAAAGTCTTAATGGCAGTTAAATATGATCATTGTTAAAATGCGTAATAATGAAAATTACTACTACTACCTCCGTCCTAATTATAAGAGCCATTTGACTAATTTGAGGAGATTAAAGAAATAAGTTGAGTTAGTTATTTGTCCTAAATAGGTGTTGTCTTTCTTAAAATATCCTTGCTAATCAAGTGTATTGACTAGAATTATCATTGTTAGAATGACTATTTTGAAAAAAAAAAAATATAAATATGATAGACAAAGTGGATTGGGGTCTTATATTTAATATCAAAATAAAAGTCAAACATGGTCTTATATTAAGGACCGGAGGCGTAGTAGTTGTTAATGCAATTAACATAATTAAAACATATATGATTGAGCAGACACCATGATCATCAAATAAACCAAGCGGGGAAAAAAGAACTTTTCGTAATAATAAGAAAGTTTGATAAATTTTTATCTTTCCTTAGTTTATAATTTGCTTATTTTGCATCAAATAACAACATTGGCGTCCAATCTCATTTTGTATCCTGTTATCAAAAAATAAAATAAAATAAGAACACTGGCTTCCGATCAATGATATCATTGTATTTAGGGATATTAAAAATAAAAATTAGGGACAAACAAACTTAAGCTTTCAAAATGAACTTTACTTATCTTATATTATATTTGAAAAGTAGCTAGTTTCGTTGGAATAGATCATTTTATATTTGGCCCAAAAAAAAAAAAAAGACGCTCCATTCACATATTGGCACTTGGATTCTGCGACGATTAGTGCATGTGAAGACTAAAGCCACTTAATTTCCACCACAAGTTTGATTAAAACTCTCTCCTTTAGATATAGTGACGGTTTGAATTGAGACTACTCTATTAAATATATTTATTATTTATTAATAAATCATTAAACGAGAGAATATAAACTGAAATTGACAAATAACATCCAACTCGCTTAAAAAACAATAAATAATTAAACCACCTTGTGGAGGTTCTGATTTTGGTTTTTACATTTCGGCTCAAACAATTTTCTTATTTAAACATACAGGGCTCAAACTTAGACATTTTTTCAACCTTCATAGCCTCCTCGAATTATTGATCACTTTTATATTATTAGTCTAATATAATTGAATACAGTTGTGTTTGCAATAATTATTTTGAATCTATGATCTCTTCCCAGGTGGCCACTTGATTGGCCACACACGTTATCGGAAGAGTCTTTCCAGTGGGTGACCTACACGTGGGCATGGCTCAATAATAGCACTTAAAAAAAACAATTAACACATCAATTATTTGATTTATATTTATATTTTACCCCTCTCTTAACTCCACATTTTTATATATGAAAACCATAAAAAACAAAATACTAAGATAGCGTATAATGGAAGAGAGAGTCCATCCACGCGTCAGATATTAAACAGTATTCACTATCCATTCAATATATAATATATAATTGCCTATTTGACCCAAAAAAATTGCATAATTGCCTATATATATAGAACTAATGTGACTGTGAGTACGCATATATATTGCAATTTAATTTCAGAACGATAACTTATATTCATATCATGGACGGCAAAAACCGACTTATTGGTCATCATGATGATCAGATTGTGACTTTGAAATTGTCACTTTGTCAGGGGATGATGTGGATGATGCAAATCAATTCTTCATTTTTGGATTAAGTCCTAATCGTAATTAGCACGCGAGTTATCTCTTTCTCTTAATTATCATTTCTTTGCTAATGATGATGAGTTAATAATAAGCTTTCAATCCGAGTCATACCCAGAAAAAAAGTTTAAAAATAACTTTGCACATTCAATCATTACATGTATTCACTAATGAACACATGAAGAAACTCTTATCTATATCTGATCAAAAACAGAAGTAGATAAACATACTTACTACATCACTTCTGTTTATATATCCCCAGATGCGATATAAAAAGTCTTTCAAAACAGACATAAAAAGGCATTTATTATTGTGGGTTCAGTTGTAAAATACATTTTTGGAAAAGTTATTTTTCTTTAAATTAGATGATATATTGAATCTAAAACGACATTACATGATATGAAATTCATTAATTATTAAAACAAAGCATTATTAGTTATGTGGTATGTGGCCATGGTTAATCAACGAGTATATATGATGATAATGAAGATGTGAAAAAAAAACACGGCAGAATATTCCCTAACTTTATTTCATACATATTCTTCATAATAATGCACCCCTATTCCTCCTCATCATTACTAATTTTTTATTCTATCTTTCAAGGAAAAAACTGCCAAGCTCTTATGCAAACATATGCATGTACACATACAAAGTTACAAGCATATCTGAATATATATAAATATTATCCAGGTACCTACAAGTTTGAATTGATATAATAAAAAAGTTGACTTGG